TATATATATATATATATATATATATATATCTATTGTTCCAACCTTTTCTAAGTTACCTTACAGATGAATCATGTTTGCTTTTCCTTATAGATTTTCCTTGTGTTTCCTAGTGTTTTGCATTTCCTTATAGATAAAGCACGTATTTGCTTTGTCCAAAAGGAAAACAATTGTAAATGGTTGTATGTGATTACGACAACCAATCAGAATAAAGCAATCAGTAAATAAAACATTCTGATTGGTTGACTCTTACGTCACGCTACGCTTACGCAATTGTAGAATGGGCTTTAAGCTAGCTAATAATTAAGTGATGCGCATGCGCAGTAACGGGCAACCCAGCAAGTAAAGCTGTGGATTGGCTGTTGCGTCCCCACCATATCTCCCCACCATCTCTTCTAGGCTATCGATCTGGGTTCTCTGCGCTTGCTTGAAGTCACTCCCGAATCTACCGTCAAGCAGTTCGGAAGTACAGTCAGCAGGAGCTATCTGCAACGTTTTCTAACCTATCAGTGGTTAAGCTGTGTGTGCATCAAGTTTGTGTGATCGTACAACAAAGATGCCGAAGAAGTCGAGTAAATCAGCGTCCTGGGATCATCGTGGCGGCCGTGCAGCTACATCCTTAGACACCAATAAGCGTTGGTTGGCCGACAAGCACTATTTCGGTAAGTAATCGACGAGACTCAATTTATTTCTTCTACATGTGTTTTCGTCATCGACGCGGTGAATACTTAACGTCGCGGATTAATTCTCGCCCGTATCTGCATATTCGCGATATCTTTGCAACGCGCTGACGAAGTGTTTCTCTGTCCGTTGGTCACACGTGGCTATTGAGTAGGCGCGTAAAAACCAAAATGGACACTGTCTCGAAGCAGAGCTTCTACGCATCGGCTGCATACGTGCATAAATGATAATATCTACATGAGCTTGCCTTAAAGTAAATTGCAAATTAACGGAGTAGATTTTTTCGTAAGAGGCGAATTAATAACGAACTCGGTCGTCTGAACTACTTCGGATCAGGACTTTGTTATTTTGCGCGCAGTTACCTAAGAATACAAAGAATACATAATTACATCATCCTGGAGCGTCTAGCTCGTTTTTACACTGACAATATTTGCGAACGTTATATTAAACGTTATATTAATGTTTATGTTAAAGTTGCATTCCAAAATGTCCTTTTTGAAGAAACTTTACTCGATACTCTATAGTATATGTAACGTAAATTATAGATATTAAGTAAAATTTTCCTTAAAAAGAACGCAATCTTAGTACACGTATCAACGTTCGATCTAAGTAAATTTCGGCCTTCCATTTTATCGTGCAGACAAAAGTCTGTTTCTCGAAAAAAAGTCGTAAAATAGGATGAGCTCATTGTTGGAGCTCATCCTATTTTATGACTTCTACCTAGAATTTTCCAGGTAGAAAAACCGACCCAAGGCCTACGCAAAAAAGAGACCCCTTTTTTTTTTTTTGGTGACGTGTCTCCGGCTTGTCTCTCGACAAATTAGAAAGTGGCACACTTTCAGCTTCAGAGTAATATTACTTTTGTAATATGGATTGTCCTTTCGGTTCTGATGATAAAATTAATAGGATTATATTTATTTTATTTATTTATTCATATCCGTGCCTTTCGGCTTTGGATGGCTCCTGCTATATACATACATACATCTGTTTGTTAATGTTACAACTTTTTCTAACATCTTCCTCTTCTTTTTCTAACTGCTTTCTTCCTACTTCCTTTTCTTCGTATCCAACTCTTTTATACATTCCATTACCAGCCTCTTCTTTGATCGTCTACCCATTTTTGTTTCCTCTTCTACAATATAATTTAGTTGTTATATCTAAATCTAGTATTCATTTCAGTATGTATTTTCTTTTTCTTATCCATTCTCTTCTCGTCTTGCCACCCCCATACTTCTGCTCTGTATTTAATAAATTTATTGGGTAACCTGTATATTTCACACATTTCACAAATACGTTAAAATATTGCTAATTAGTTAACTTAATTATTTACTTACAGCACACGACGACCGTGTAGTGAGACCAGGCCTTGGTTCGTATGTTGGGGGAAATAGACTCCGCGTATCATTCAAGACGCAAAGACCAAGTAAAGAGATTAGGCGTAATTTGAATCTCGCAAATCTGGATGAAGACATTCCAATGACCATGAGTTCCAATAATAATGCAAGACAAGTAATTATCCGTGAAAGAACACGTGGTGGTTGTTCTCGAGGAAGAAATAGTCCTTTGCCAAGTAGAAATTTTCAGGGAGGTCAACCTACTGGATCGAGAATGCGGCAACCTCGATTAGGCGAATCTGATTGGTATAAGATTTGTGTAAGTATTATATCCATTTCATACGATATATGTTGTCGTTTGCATTAAAACTGTAAAACTAAATGTGTATTACAATTACAGATTCCATTCGGCCACAAGTATGAGAAAGATTATGTCTTGAGAAATCTGTTGAACTACATGGCGCCTGAAGCATTCATACCCATTACTGTAAGTAGGATTTGCTATGTCCACCAAATTAAATCATATGATAACGATAAAAGACGTATTATGTTGTACTAATTCAAATATTCACTTGTATATTTGCAGTATAAAGTAATGGACAATAGTGCTATCTTTTACGTTGACGATCAGAAAGCAGCGAACGCATTGGCAAATTGCGATCGCAAGATTACGATGACAGACGGCTTCAAGTTGCAAATAAGAGTGAAGCCGGGATTTCCGCAGTTTGAGATCGATGATAAGTTGAAAGAACGTCTGAAGCAAGCTATGGGGAAACGATATATAGCAGAAACAAATGCCCTGGATTTATCCAAGTTCCATCAAGATGTTGGTTAGTATAAAATTACCGAACTGTAATAACAGATTTTATTCTTAATTAATGTTGAAATTTATAATTAAACGTATATGTGTATCTTTGTTTTTATAGATCTTGTTGCTGATTATTTCTGCGCATTATTTCGTCCTGTGATGTTAATGGCAGTATTGGACATTGTGGGTGAACATATACCTACATTGGAAGCCTTAAATTTGGAAGGCAATAAACTTCATATTATCCAAGGGCTTGGAATCTTGAACAAAAAGTTTCCAAAATTGAAGATACTTTATATTGGAGACAATAAGGTATATATAGTGAAAAGATTTTATGCTACAATGTTATCTAAGAAACTAACAATTAACGTTTCTAATATATGAATAAATTAATTATTACAGATCCGAGAAATGCATCAAATAGACGTTCTGAAAGACCTCAAGTTGGAGGAATTGCGGTTGAATGGAAATCCTGTTTGTAAGAAATACAAGTCTCGGCAAACCGATTACGTAAGGTATGTAACATAGAAAATTCTTTGTTTATTGAAAATTATCAGAAATAGTAGATAAAATAGACATAGCATTGATGCATAATATGAGAACGATAATTACTTCATGGGGTAGTTAATGTCTCTTATTCTTCAGAACTGAATTTCGATAACTAACTTTCTAACATTTTCTTAATTCAACTAGCATTTGCAGGTATTATCATAACTTGTAACTACAATTTTTCAAGTACATTTTTTTATTGAGAAACTTACATTAAATTTGTTTCAAATTGTTGTAAACAAAACAAATTTGTTAGGATTAACTTCAAATATTTTAGATTCAACTAAATTGATTTATATATTCGCGCTTTCTCTTTTTCTCTCTTTTAATAATATAAATTTTATAATTTAATTAATAAATTTAACTGATATTAGTAATACTGAAATTAGTAATATATATAATAATACAAAATTGTTGTTATCATGCTAATCTGGAACCTGTGGGCTTTTCTTTCTCAACTACAGTGACGTCCGGAAACGGTTTCCGAAGTTGATGAGATTGGTGAGTACTCTACATGTATAAAGTAAAATATTATATTTAGACTACTACTATTAATAAAATAAAATATAAGATAGTAAACAAGATAATATAATAAGATATAAAGATTGTATATTAACAAGTGTTTTTCTCACTATATAACAGGATGGGACAGAATTACCACGGCCAATAGTATTTGATGTGGTGGATGAAGCAGCCAAAGCACCATCATCACAAAGAATATTTGCCTCGAGCGCGAAGGCACATGAAGTCGCCAGCCGATTCCTTCAGCAGTACTTCATGATATTCGACAGCGATAATCGCCAATCGCTGTTGAATGCTTATAATGAGCAGGCGTGTTTTAGTTTAACGATTACATACACCCACGCTAAGTAAGTATTTGCCCATGATCTCTAACTGTTATTGTATTATCAAGTAAGTTCGTTTGTTCTGAATCTAATCAAAAAATCTCTTGTTACAGATTGAACGGTTATCTCACAGAAAACCGAAATTTGTTTAGGGTGAACGATACCTCTAAAAGAATGAAATTATTGAAAACTGGTAAATTACCAGTGGTATCGTTTCTTTCGGAGATGCCGCAGACAAAGCATCTTCTCGATTCTTTCACGATGGACATCACGTTACCAACAGTAAGTTATACCGACAGATTTATTTCATAAAATGTCTATTTTAATAAATACTTGATTATTTAAAGTTTACACAGATTATACAGCTAAATTTTCTATATTCATTCATTATATACACAAATCTTTTTCATAAATTGATATATATTACATATTCGTATTTTTCGAATCGAAATTTTTTAATGTACATTTTTTCTGCGGTATTTTTGCAGCGGTATTTATGTAAAATTGAAAATTTATGTCTAACTTTGTCTTCTTGTGTGATTGCAGCCGACGATGATGTTCGTTACATTGACGGGCTACTTCCAAGAAGTCAATAGTAAGGAAGAGCCTATCCGCTATTTCAATCGGACCTTCATAATAATCCCGGAAGGTGCCGGATATTGTATTTGCAATGAACAATTGCACATCAGTCAACCTACCGATGCCCAGTTAAAACAATTGAAGAGTCAGCTGAGTCAAAGTGTACAGCCGACTCCGTTGTTGCCACAAACACCCGTGCAACAACCAACCGTGTTAATACCACCAACACCCGTAGAACAATCAGCTCCGTTGGTGGCACAAATGACAACCGAAGTCGAAGTAGCAAAGCCCATGGAGACGGCCGAATTGAGTGAAGAGATAAAGCAGCAGATGGTCGTTACGTTGAGCCAGCAAACGAACATGAATTTACAGTGGAGCTTCAAATGCTTAAACGAGGTACAATGGAATTATGATAACGCGTTTGCTGCATTTCAGAACTTTTTTAAGCTTGGGCAAATACCGTCAGAGGCTTTCGCGAAATAAATGTAGTCTTATCTCGTCGCGGCATGAAAAGCTATCGTATTCATGTTCTTTTGTTGGATATTTCGCGCGGATTTCTCTTTTAGCATCTTATATACCAATAATTAAAATATATTCTTGGTAGATATTTGCTATTCGCGAAAACCGCAATATCGTATTAAATTATTAAATTCCGTAAAAAAAAAAAAAAAAAAAAAAAAAGGGGGGGGGGGGGAAATTTTT